ACTGGTACTTCATCATCTATTATTTAGTATAGCCTATTGTGCTGTGCAGGCCATTTACGTGCGTTCTTTCGCATTACTAAAAAGAATTCATTGCTTTGTTTTTGTTACTGGCATACATCATCAATATCGGAGAAATTTTCAAGTTTTTGCGGACTTCTATGTTATTATTTACATGTATGTGTGTAGTATACCAGAGAAGTCTGACTCTGAGACTTGTGAGGTTAAGTTGACACTCAAGCAGGTAATACATTTTCAGGTATAAAATGTGAGATGATAAAAGATAATATTGAATACATCATTTGCTTATATTGCATGTACTACTGTATGATGTATGTAACAGAAAAATATAACTGTTGAACATTTCTTTCTAGTTGTTAGCAAGTTGTAACACTGGTCAGTTTAAATTGGGAAGTTCAGTTTCCCGATTTCAAGGCGGCCATCTTGGTCATCCAATTTTCTAACTTTTTTTCTACTGAAGATACAGTACACTTTTACATGTCATTGGAAAGAGCATGATTTCTCCTGCATCATGATGTCTTTAATTTGGTCATGATGTGTAACATTATGAAGATATTCCGTTTTGAAAGTTGCCCAGGCCAGTGGTCTATTGGCTGGACCATGTGAACCACACGCAGACCACACTTGGTTATGCAGAGAACGCAGTGGCCTAGCAGTAGTCCACTCCAATGCAAATGAGTTATAATTGGCCATTCCACACTGAACAAAGCACTCGCATAATGAGTTATCACACCTTGCTTGTCAGACCACTGGCCTGACCTGGGTTCAATGGGTCAGGTGATTAGAGGTGTGAAGTCCAGTCTGGCCAGGGCCAAGACCACAATGGCCTGGGCCAATCAACACCTTGTTGTTTATACAGCCCACCTGGCCTAAATTATAGCCCATACATGGTTTTCCCTCAGACCAGTGGTCTAATGCATTTTCAATCAGTCATATCTAAGCCTATGAACATCACTAGCTAATAATTTTCACATGACTACTTTCGTGATGAAAAGAGCTTTCAGATGATACCACACTTATAGGCAGAAATTTGATATTTCTGAGGTTTCCCAATTGCTTCTGTTTTTCCCAATTTGAACTGACCAGTGTTTTGTCTTTAGGATATGTAATGTTTCTGAAGGGTTGCCATGAACCACCCATAGATCTTGTCTACTCTCTAGATGGCAACCGTACAAAGACCCAAATGATAATACTGTGACCCTTGATTTGGTTATGTAATGCAGGATGTCAAAGTCTGATTTGATATGTAAAAATTTGCTGAAGCTTATGTCAAATGTTTGGTTGCTCAGTGGTTACAGCCTGTACATTGGTAAGGGCATGTAATGGATGACCCTTTGGACATAACTCAATGTGCAAATTACATTACTATCATCTGCAACATGGCCACATCTGATTCTCACCACAGGATTATGATAATGTGATTTGGATTGACAATCCATGTTGCTTATGTAATATCCCTACAGAGCTTCTTGCGAGTGTTATCTTAACGGTATGCATGATTTACGAGCTCCTTTCAGGTGAAACAATAGAGCCGTGCGTGCCATGTGGTGTAACTCTTGTGACTACATGTACTAGTATGTAGGACAGTCTACTCACAGTACGAGATGATTTTTTGATGTTTCATTGAGTAGTGACGAAAATTTTGTTCCCCCTTGAAGAATTTTCTGCAAATACCTGCTTTGTTACACTGCGATTGTTATTGTTGCAAACCTGTTTTCTTCTAATACCTGGGATTGTTGGTGCTGATAAAGGAAGTCCCAGGACAAAGCCAAAGTCAACAGGTAGCCACATTAAAGAGAGCCAGTTCTAGAGGCCAGGGGTTTACCACTAGACTGGTGTCAAGCAACTGACATACCTCTGATACTAGCCATTGTTTTAATGACTGTCTGATTCATATGAATAAGTATAGTCAAACA